GAACAACGGTCAGACAGCAGCTGGGATACCCGATGAAATCGATCGGCTTTGTTTCTTCGATGGGATGTCGAGTTTCCTATATATATAGTATATATATATAGAGTTACTTGATGCTTGTTACTCGACTCGAGGTGGTTAATTCGAACACAGTTGGATCGAAATTGGAAAGATTTGCTCATTGATTATATGCGAACGATTGATCCAGCTACTTATTCATCATCGTTTCGTTTGTTTCGATCGAATTTTAAAACGTACAGGTCAGGAGTACAACTTCAACAAATTGACCGAGGACGAGGTGAATTCCCTCGGTTTGCCCTACGATTACGACTCCATCATGCACTACGCGAAGAACACGTTTTCAAGGGGGACGTATTTAGACACGATTCTACCGATGGAAGTTCATGGGAAAAAGCGTCCCGAGATCGGGCAGAGACTTCGGCTAAGCGAAGGAGACATCGCCCAAACCAATCTTCTTTACAAATGTTACAGTAAGTCGTCTCGTTACAATAATTTTCCTTTTCGGATCAGTTTTATTCGAAAATTGGAAATTTGAGAGATCTGGTTGATTTTTGTGCATTATAGCATAGATTCGATTTTTCCACAGAATGCGGGAGAACGTTTCAAGAGAACAGCGGAAGTTTCGGATCGCCGACCCATCCGAACAGCTCGCCACCGTCCGAGGGCGAGCGATGCGAATGGAGGATCACGGCCACGCATGGCGAACGAATAGTCCTCAACATTACATCGTTGGATATATTTAAAAGCAATTTTTGTCGCAGCGACTATCTCGAGATTAGAGACGGATATTGGTACAAGAGTAACGTGTTGGGTAAGTGAAACGATCGGTGATAAAAAAGATGGAAACAAGCGGGGAGAAATTTATACTTATCCCTGGTCCATGCGACTGTATCGTATATATCACGAATATTGCATTCACCGCGGCGAAGAAGATACCTTGTTTTCAAGATACGAGATCCTGTTTGCGAATATATTGCGTATTTTCATCCCACTTTTTCCCTTTCCCTCTGACAATTAACGATATCGGAAAATGAGGTTTTTTTAAACCGTTAGGAATAATAATCGCTCTCGTTGGAGAGAAAAATTTATGGAAGGATTTAGTTTGTCGATGCATCTTGTCGTAAGATCGGTTTAATCCTTTCTCGCGCATGATCAATGCGAATATCGTATTTTTACTTCGATTCGATATTTTAAGCTGGATATTTATTGCGAGAAGATTATCCCGTACGATTATTCTCATAAAGGGATGAAACAAAAACAAAAAAAAAGAAAACCTCGAATAATAATCTCCCCCTCCCGTTTAAAACTTATCCCTCGTAATTTAATTTGAAACGCAGGTCGATACTGCGGAAGCGGTAAAATCCACGAGCCTGTGGTCTCGAGCGGAAGTCGAATGCTGGTCACATACGTGACGTCCAACTATCAGTCGGGCCATCGTGGTTTCACGGCGTCCTACGAGGCCGTTTGCGGTGGCGAAATCGAGTTGGAGGACACCGGCCATCTCGAATCGCCCAACTATCCGGACGGTTATCAATCGAGCAAGGAGTGCGTGTGGAAGCTGTCCGTGCCCCAAAACTTCCAAGTGGCGTTGAAGTTTCAATCGTTCGAGATCGAGAATCACGACAATTGCGTTTACGACTACGTGGAGGTGCGGGACGGTCATAACGCGGACTCGCCGTTGATCGGGGTTTACTGCGGTTACAAGATACCGCCGGACATCAAGTCGACGGGCAACAAACTTTTGGTGAAGTTTGTTAGCGATGGGTCTGTGCAAAAGGCCGGATTCTCGGCCACGTTCATGAAAGGTAAGATCCAGTTTCGCGTTCGATCGAGCTTCGATCTGCCTCTCGATTCGATTTCGCCTCGTCCCTTTCCTTTGTCCTGCTGTAATGATCCTTGCTGAAATTTTTGCCGAATGATAGCGAATAAGAAGGAATTTTAGGAGAGGAAGAAGATTCAACGCAATTTTTTTTCTCTTTTTAGGTAAATAGTGAAATTGGAAGGAATGAAAATTATATAAATTAGAATTTTTAACGAGAATAGTCGATTCAAAGTTTGATCGAAAGTGGAGGTTCGATGTATTTTTTTCTTTTTTTAGAATTCGACGAGTGCGTGTTGATCGATCACGGTTGTGAACACAATTGCATCAACACTTTGGGCGGATTCGAATGTTCCTGTAAACCTGGCTACGAATTGCATTCCGATGGAAAACATTGCGAAGGTGATTTACCCAGAATCGATTCTTCTCTCTAATTCTAGTTCATATTAGAAATATTTCACTGACGATAGATTAGGATTTCAATGTATCTCTGTCGATTAACGCGTCGTTTATCACAGACGCCTGCGGCGGAGTGTTCGAGGACAGCAACGGAACTATCACGAGTCCGTCGTTTCCGGTAACTTATCCAGGAAACAAGGATTGTGTCTGGGAGATCATAGCTCCGCCTCAATACCGCATCACGCTGAATTTCACTCATTTCGATCTCGAAGGTACGAATGCTCGTCAACAGGAATGCGAATACGACTCGGTGGAAGTGAGCAGCAAGCTTGGAGACGATATTTTGAGAAAGCACGGAGTTTTCTGCGGCTCGAGGTTACCATCGCTTATTACCTCGGAGGGCAACTCGATGAGAGTAACCTTCACGTCTGATAACAGGTAATATCGCGAACAAAAGGAATTTCTTAAAATATCCATTTTCTTGGAAATATCTTTCTAATATAATTCTATACATTTCGTTCCATGTGTGTAATTTCAGTATCCAGAAAACTGGTTTTGCTGCAGTTTTCTTCACCGACATGGACGAGTGTGCGACCAACAATGGCGGTTGTCAACACGAGTGCAGAAACACGATAGGCTCTTATCAATGCTCGTGTCACAACGGATTTACGCTTCACGAAAATGGACACGACTGCAAGGAGGCGGTTGCAAGTACGAAATTGCCGCACCTATGGGTACTATAACATCGCCAAACTATCCAGATTACTATCCTGGCCTAAAAGATTGCGTCTGGCATTTTGTTACCAAGCCGGGTCATCGTATTAAATTGGTTAGCGTCCAAGAATTATTTTTTTAACGGATGTTTATAAATATTTATGTCATTTCGATCTAACGATTCGATCAACGATTCAAAATTCTTTCTCAGGTTTTCAAAGTTTTCGAGATGGAATCCCATCAAGAATGCAATTACGACCACATCGCGATTTACGACGGCGATTCGCCGGATAGCCACGTTCTCGGCAAATTTTGCGGTACCAAAGAACCCCATCCAATCTTGGCAACTGGGAATCAAATGTACATGGTATTTAAGAGCGATGCTTCCGTCCAGAGGAAAGGTTTCTTTGCGACTCACAGCACGGGTAAAACAGCTATCGATTTAAACGAAGTAATCTGACGTATATAATTCGTCGTCGAAAGAATGACGAATTATTTCTCCAATATTCGCATCGTGATTTCAACTTTCCAAAGCACGAACTCTTTCGTGTTATGTTCGATTTTTCCTAAAATCTTACTCGACCATCAGAATTGCATGAGAATATTCCAAAAAATATTATCATTACACGATTTGATTATTTATATATTTGTATATCGTGTATCGAAATAATTTTATACGCCGATATGAAAAAGTTCATTCACTCTCTGATATTTTGCACAATTTCACTCGCTCGTACACAGCTTGCGGTGGCCATCTGGTTGCAACGAACGAAGTGAGGCATTTGTACTCGCACGCGAGGTACGGTGTCCACAATTACGACCACAGAACCGATTGCGATTGGGCGATCGAGGCGCCACCTGGTAAAAACGTGCACTTGACGTTTGTCACGTTCCAACTGGAATCAGAGAGCGATTGCAATTACGATTTCGTCGAGGTTTATTCCGGCCTGGACACGTCTGGCCTCCTCTATGGACGATTCTGCGGAAATAGCGTAAGACACGACGAAATTAATGATGTATACACGAAATTAAGCGTGTTCTTCTTACGGTCACATTTTTCCAGAACACCACCGATTTTATTTCGATAAACGAGGCGTTGTTGGTAAGATTCCGAACGGACGACACGATATCGAACAAAGGATTCATGGCGCTGTTCGTCGCTGTTGACCGCCAGGATAGCGGCGAGAATTACGGTGGTTCGGAGGACGAAGACGCGGACGAGGAGACTCTCTGATCCGTGACAGGCCTCGCCAATCGAGTAGGCTACGGATTCCACATTGGTTCACTGTTGCGGAATAACGATCAAGGTGACGAGTAAATTTCCAGATTACTCGCCAGAGAAACGTTTCAATGGAATCCAGGACATATAGCCCGTGGCAAGTGTGAATCTTGCTCGATCGTCGAGGCCGCGAATCTTGTTTTATTCACGAATTACGCATTCGAACAAGGTGAAATGAATCGAATAATTAAAATATCGATCAATGGACTGGATCGGAAGATTTATATTCAACGATTAAACGGGTGAATAGCCGTTTTCCCTCGTGAGTTAATCCGAGTGTCTCTCGTGTCAAGGATAATTTATTCCGTTAACGGTGACGTTAGATAACGGCTTAACCATTTGGATTAGCGATTTACGATCCTGAAATTCGGCCTAGGTTCAACCCGATCGTGCCATTGTACGTTTAGGTAGAGAGCGCATTATACTGTTAACTATTATTGAATTTCGAATCCAGTGAGAAACGACAGGTTTAAAGAACGGGAATGGCGAGTCAACACACACCTCTTGTCGACAAAAGTGATTTTCTGATATTTGATCGAACGTCGTCTCATCGGTGTACGGAATTGTTCAGAGTAATCGATATCGATGCGATAAAAAGGTATAAAGAAGTCGAAAAAAGGAATGAAAAAGGATATTCCACACTCGATCGACATTATTCTTTCAAACACTGCCCTGGAACAAATGATTCGATCACTTTTTTCTCGATAATCTAATTCTTTCCACTCTTCTCTTTTCTTCTCCTTTTCTTTTCTTTTCTTTTTTTTTTTCCCCATCGACGTTTATGCTATTTTTCGAAACGTCTCTTTCCAAAAGGTATACGTGAACGGATTAGTTTTAATGTCGCCATACAGGAATGTAGAACGAAAACGAGAGTCGTGTTTTAGAGTGGAATGGAGGAAGAAAAAAAATGAGGGGAAATTTTTCGCTCGAACCTATTTGAATATTGGAAATCTTTCAAACGACAACTCGTGCAAATAACTTGAATAATCTAGATGTAAATTTTAGTTATAGCGCTGATCGATCCTGAAAAAAATCAGCGATAGAAGTCTTACGGCGAACCTCGAGCGACGACCGATTTCGATCGACGTTTCTTTTCACGAGGATCTCGCCAAACGTTTATTGTACATAGATAAAAGTTTAGACGTAGACGTCGTGCCGTTTTATATCGTAGTCATAGGATCGACGACGAAAAAAAAAAAAAAAATGAAATGTCTCGCTATCGTGTGAATTCGTGGATTTTTGATGGTTCTCAGGCTCTGTACTTTCGTCTGTGCGTCTCAGAACAATAAATATTTAAAAATATTTCGAATAATTAGGTGTTTACGAATTTGTTGAGGAATGAAATAATTCCAAAATTGACGTATTGTTAGGCATACGTTGAATTGACATAAACTAGACAATAGTATTCGATACAAATTATTGGTACACCGTGAAAGTTCAGCTAGAGCAAATAGAAATCTTTAATAAATTTATCGTAGATAATAATACTCTGGAGTTGCGATATTTTGGACACTTCGTATTAAACTTGCAGATAAACGGTGAGAAAGATTAAATTTAAGATCGAAGACGTATCCTATCGAATTCATCGAAATACTCGTGTTTCTGGCATTAACGAAACGTTATTCTTTGTACACTGTTTAAGAGAAAAAATAACATGTAAAAGATTAATGGCTAAAAATATTGTTCAAGAATAAGGAACGATATTAAATTTTCAAAATTTTTGCCAATTTTTCTACGTATTTCACTGCCCGGTGTATAATTTTCTCGATGGTACACGAAGAATTGAAAAAAAAGAAAAGATGATATAATAATATATTCTTATCTTCACGTTCTTTTTCTATTCTATCCGATGAACAATGAATAAGGTTTATATTAATTGGAATTAATTAAAAGGAAATGCGACGAACTTGAAGTTTCTTTTGCAGGTGTACACGTACACGTTCATAATGTTGGTCCTTCAGAAAGGAAAAAAATGAATGAAAAATTCGTATGCCTATAGATAATAAATACCTTGTCATTATCCGACGATAAGAGCAATATTAAACGCCGCGTCAAGTTCCTTTTTGTAAATTATATGTGATTTATTTGTTCTCAGAAATACACGTTATAGGCACTCTATATATTACTAAGCAAGTATATACAACTAATATAAGTGTTTATTCTATTAAAAAATAATCCTTAGCCTAAATTAGTTTCCTTTGTCCTTGTAGATATCCATCCTTGATGTCGTCATTTATATCATCATCATAGAAGGAATATTCTAATGAGAAGCAGAAAATAGAACAAAAATTATTAAGTGTTATTAGATATCACGCGTTCAGAATTAATCATTGGTAAATATGATAACTTTGATTATTAATGCAATAATATTAAATGTAAATTATCTTAGATAAGTATTTCTAAAGTTTTTTTTTTTTTTAATTAAATAATGTAATATTCTTGAAATGAAAATTTTATCTCCTTTCTCAATTTTATTCAATTAATTATTTATACGAATAGAGATGAAGTACAAATATAAACATTGGAACATTGGCTAACTATATTTGGAGAACAAGATTGCTACAAATGCAAGGACAATAAGCGCGTGGTCGATCTGTTACATCATCGTCCGGTACTCGGTAATACCGGTATCGATTATGTTAATATTGAAGATCAATTTTCATGATCGCAACTAAGAATAATATTTATTAGTTACTGTAAACTTGAATCATATGATAAAATAATAATAGGAAGGAAAAAATTAATAATAATTTATCGATAGGTTAACACTCTTTCCAAATTCTTACCTGAACAAAGTTATTGAGAATTGATAAAACTTGTTTAACAACTTTCTAACTTATTCAATAAATACGAATAAACTTTGCATTTTATTGAACAGATAATTATTACGTGTTTGTAGACTGTCCAAGTACCATAGCCTAAAAATATTAATTTAAAAAATTATTCTGACCACACACTGATTCGAAAATAATTATTTTTCTTTCCAGACAAAATAATAATGATCAAATAAATTTTGAATTCTCTCGAGGATGAATGAAATTGTTTTTGCGTGCACATCATACGGATGAGTTATTTATTTTCTCTGGCAATGTACTGTGCCCCACCCTGCACATCTCTTCCAGAAGAGAGGATCGTTGCGATTTACTGCTTTCCTTAGGCAAGATCCGGCTGTCTGTGACCAATTTTAGAAAAAGTGAACGGTCGACTGGCATAGGTGGCTCTCTCACAACGGCTCTCATCTTTCCTTAACGCTTATAATGCATATAAAGGAATCAACAGAGCGTGTTCATATAATTCAGAAGCTGGAAAAAAGAGTTATGTAGTCATGATCGATACACATTATCATATTAACGAACCTTTGCTATATTGTTTTGATTTTTGGCGATGTTGATTGATTCTTATGACGATATTGATTTCTTCTCAGAAATGGAAAATGGCCACTTACGTAATTATATTGAAAATCAATATTTTTCTCTTCCTATTAAAAAAAAGAGAAATTTAAGTAAAAGAAAAAAAACTTAATTTAAGTTTTAAATAATTAATAACGAAATTGGATCTTAGATATTTAAAGATGTAATCAATATCAATTAGATGATGATAATAAAAAGAGATAATTTTTATCTTTAATCTTTTAACAATTTTATCACGAAATAAATATAATTGATGACTGACTTTCACAACATGTTAATTGATATTTTTCAACAAGAAACAAGATCTTCTCGTTTGCTTATAATTTCACAATTCTAAGATCTAGACTTACAGGTAAGTCTCCCGAATAGAAATTCTGCGACGCAATGTCTATTCTTAACCAATGGACAAGTTCAACGCCCATATCCCGCTGTAGTTTTGCAACTAAGAATAAGTATACCGTTGTTTTGCATTTCTCCATCGGACAGTGTTTTTAAACATTGCAAATGTAAAAGCAAAATCAATTATTATAACTCTATATAAATGTCACATTCATTTTATTCCTCATAATTTTCGTCATAATTGCTTCAAAATTTTTTTAATGATGTATATAAAAGAAAAATAATTTACAGTTTTTGTGTTAAAAGAGTGGAACAAGTACTACTTACAGTGAACTTTCTCTTGTACATCTTCTCATATGTAATGTGAAATTTTGATGACAATCTTCTCGTGAAACATTATGATGGAAGAAATTTGATTTGTAACTGTGTTATATTTGCAACGTGTAATAAAAATTATGTTTCCAATATATAATCTTTCAGACAATAAATATGATAAGATTATTTAAATGTAATTATTTGTGAAAAACGTAATATCATGAAAAATTCTTGTAAAACACATTGTTTTGTAATTAGAATTCATAAAATTATGAATAGTAATATATATTATTCCTGAAAAATTATATATGATTATGATTATAATAATTATAATTGTAATCGTAATATAACGTTTAATATATTTTAATCTAAAATTCTGATATTTATTTTTAATGAAAACGAATTAATATATTTTAATTACATTCTCATTTTATACATACATGAGTATTGAATGAAAAAGACGTGTATCTTCTTAAAAATATCATTTTAAAAATTAATTTCATTCATAAATGCCATTATTTTTAGAAACGAATTGTAATATCAAACTACTAACATAAAACAATTCTTTAAAATATTCAAAAATAATAAGATCTTCTTGGACTTTATTCCGTTGAACGATAATTCAATTCACGCTTGAATAAATTAGAAACAGTTATATTTCCGTACTTGTTATAATACACGTACTTTATTGGGAATCAATTGTCATGAAGTCAATGAACAAGAGTTATTATATATCAATTTTCTTGCTGCGCCCATCGAAATTTGTAAAATCAATAAAATAAATGTCGCATGACAGAAGGATACTATATTTCGTGTGTAGGAAACATGCGTAGAGACGCCGTGGCGTTCTGCGGTCTCTTGTCGGCCAATCGGAGTTTAGGATGAGGTCATCAGCAACCAATGATGGTGCGCCAAAAGAGTCGATAGTCAGGGGTATAAGATCCCGTTGCAAGCGTCTCTCGCGCATTAATCGTTTGGTGTTCGACTGTTTCGTCGTGTGTGGTTGATAGCAGAAGTTCCATTACTTGCTTTAACTATCGACTACTCACTTTCTACAAGAGCGTAAACCACATCCCTAGACTTCAAAATGGTGAGTAAATATTGATAAGAAAGTAAATTTGTAGGATATAATCAGAAGTGTTATTTCTGGATAGTTTGGTTGCAACGATTACAACCGGCCGGCTCCGCCCATTCCGTTATGACTCATATTTAGTAACTAGATACCATTAAAACAGTTAAATCGTTTAGCTTGGATAATATTCTTAATAAAATTGATTAAATAATATGTTTTTCATAAAATTGGTTTAAGAAAATGAATCGCTTTAACGCAATTTCATTGTTTCACGTCTATTGATTGGCAGGGAATGTACGCGTCGTTTTAGGCTACGCGATCGATACTTCGCTAATGATGGCTGTCAAATATTCTTTATATAAAATCATTTTAAATGTGTTATTGAAATTAAATGCAATATTAAATTTTTATGATATAAAATAAAATATAAAATATAAAAATTTAATAAAAAATTTACTAAAAAATTTTTTTTAATTTTTAAGGAAATATTAACTGTTATTTTATAATTTATTTATATTTTTTAGCGTGAATGTATCTCAATCCACGTTGGCCAGGCTGGAGTCCAAATTGGTAATGCCTGTTGGGAATTATATTGTTTGGAACATGGCATCCAACCTGATGGTCAGATGCCATCAGACAAAACCATTGGAGGAGGAGATGATAGTTTCAATACTTTCTTCAGTGAAACAGGTGCCGGAAAACACGTTCCCAGAGCGGTTTTCATCGACTTAGAGCCTACAGTAGTCGGTATGTAATTATTTTCCATTCATGGTTAATATATTATAAACAATAAATTAAATATTAAATTGAATAATTATTTTATTTTTAATTTCGTTTTGCAGACGAGGTTCGCACAGGCACTTATCGTCAACTCTTCCATCCAGAACAACTGATCACAGGCAAAGAGGATGCAGCAAACAATTATGCCCGTGGTCATTACACAATTGGCAAGGAAATTGTTGACCTTGTCTTGGATCGTATTCGTAAACTTGCAGATCAATGTACTGGACTCCAAGGTTTCCTCATCTTCCATTCCTTTGGAGGTGGCACTGGCTCTGGTTTCACATCTCTGTTGATGGAACGTCTGTCTGTGGATTATGGAAAGAAGTCAAAGCTGGAATTCGCAATTTATCCAGCACCACAAGTTTCCACTGCTGTGGTCGAACCTTATAATTCAATTCTCACCACCCATACTACTTTAGAACATTCCGATTGTGCATTTATGGTTGACAATGAGGCTATTTATGATATCTGTCGCCGTAACTTGGACATCGAAAGACCGACGTATACAAACTTGAACCGACTGATTGGTCAAATCGTTTCTTCGATCACTGCCTCACTTCGTTTCGATGGCGCTCTTAACGTTGATCTAACGGAATTCCAAACTAATTTAGTACCTTATCCAAGAATTCACTTCCCATTGGTTACTTATGCGCCAGTCATTTCCGCTGAGAAAGCGTATCACGAACAACTTTCTGTAGCGGAAATTACGAATGCTTGTTTCGAACCGGCTAATCAGATGGTAAAATGCGATCCTCGTCATGGAAAATATATGGCGTGTTGTATGCTGTACAGAGGAGATGTTGTACCTAAGGATGTTAATGCAGCCATTGCAACTATCAAGACTAAGCGCACCATTCAATTTGTCGACTGGTGTCCAACCGGATTCAAAGTTGGCATTAATTATCAACCACCTACTGTTGTACCAGGTGGTGATCTTGCTAAAGTACAACGAGCTGTTTGCATGTTATCCAATACTACTGCTATCGCAGAAGCTTGGGCCCGACTTGACCATAAATTCGATTTAATGTACGCTAAGAGAGCATTTGTACACTGGTACGTCGGTGAGGGTATGGAGGAAGGTGAGTTCTCCGAAGCACGTGAAGATCTTGCTGCTTTGGAAAAGGATTATGAAGAGGTTGGTATGGATTCCGCAGAAGGTGAGGGAGAGGGAGCTGAAGAATACTAAACTGTCTCTCATTGAGATTTTTCAATGACATACAATTCGAAATAAACGAATTGATTTGCAATTGTTATTTTCATGTATCTTACCTGTCCTTTATATATTTTCCCCAATTGTTTAATTATTTTTATGAACAATTAGAATTTAATAGTTCATCTAAGTTAAAGAAATTAGATAGATTCTATTCTATTTTTTTAGCAAAATTTAAAAATCAATTTTTATTAAAGTACACAAAACTTATATATTATATTTTGATATATAGTAGTAAATAGTATTCGATAAGATTCTTTATCGCTTTTTGTATGTTAGTAGTATAAAGCAATTAGCAAAGGATTGTAAAAGTTTCAATTTTTTATGTTCAAAGTGTATTGCAATACGAATTCATATGTTTATGTAAAGATTATACGACGATTGAAATATAAGAACACGGAAATTTGTGGTTTCTAAGCATTGTCAATACACATTGATATAAATGATGGTAATTCTGTTTACAATTTACTTTATTTATACATAATTTATTTATTAAGAGAAAATGATAAAATCATTTACGATGAAAACGATAAAACTTTTTATTAAATAATATTAAAATTTCAAAAAAATTTGAAGAAAACAATGAATTGTTACAATATCTTTTGCTTTGTTTTGCATAATTAACTAACGTAGATTAATAACTAATTACATTCCTAATTTTTTATCTACAAATATTATTCGATAATTTTAAACGTGTCATCTTGAATAGTTCAACACTCTCACAAAATACGTATTAGAAGTATGCATACAAATATATATAGCGCACAGTACTTTTGTCTAATAATTTATCGTACCTATTTGATATTTCTTATTGCGAATACAAGAATATCTCTTATAATTCTATCTCATTTTACTTTCTTAGGTATCGGTTCATCTCGTTTTATTCCAAATAACAAGAATAGATATCTTACTAAGAATCCGCCATGAGTCGTAGCTTCTAACACTTATTGCGTACACGCATGCGCAGTACGACAGTGCACGTTGGTGCATGTCGGTGTGCACAGTGGTGTGTAAGGCGGTATTTTGTTAAAAAAAAATTGGCGGTCTCGTTGGATTAAAAATTGTGCAAATATTATTTACAAATAATTAACAGTGCGCTGAAATGGATCGCTTGTTTGTTCAATATTGCAACGAATAATATGAGTGAGTGAATTCAATATTACTAAAAGTTTTCAGTAACATTTCCTTTGGGAAAGAATGCAAAAACCATAGGCTGGAATATCGATACGATATTATATTGATACGTAGAAACGAAAATGACGAAATATAATAAGTGTTAAATGAGATTTATTTAAAATCTATTTGTACCAATGCTCCGAGTCAGGTGTACCTGATGTCTTCTGCACATCGATATATTGTTTGCATATCTACTTGCGAGGCAAGAAGCTGTGCCTTGAATGTATGCAGTTGAGTGCAGCCCCTCCAACTCGAGTTCTCGCTGCAACGTTCTCCGGTTTCCTCAATCACGTTTTTTTCTCGTGTACTGAATAATACATATAAACTGAGACCATTTCAAAGAATGCTAACTTTATTTCATGACTAATTACGATAAGAATGAGTGAGTATTCCAATGGGAATGTTTGAATGACTTCTAGTGTGCTTATCTTGTAACTTAAGCCGGACCGTATATGAGACTTTTGTATTTCTGATAAAATATGCACACTTAGACATTCTACCTATATGAATTGCATATGTACACAGTAGGTTCACATTAACACTGCCAAATGTTGTACCTACACGTGTACTTGATTAATGTATTCAAGATAACTCAGGTGAAAAAATTTTATGTCGTGTTGCGTCTAATGCACTAAAATCAATTATTTTTTTTATAACTTAGGATTTTAAAGAATGGTATATAAAATTTGCTTTCGTAAATATTTTTCAACGTTTTTGTGTACGTGAAACGTAGTAGTTTTCGTGTGCCAAATTGAATTATATGAAAATCATTTGACAGTTTTAAAATTGATAAAAATATGAAATATTTTCTAGAGGTTATATTCTCGATTTCTCGATTCTTTTGTTTTTTTCTTTTTATATTTAGTTAGAATTCGATACAAATATTTTCATATTTACAAATAAATATTTCAATAAACTAAATATAATATAATCATAACTGTTGATTTTTATTAGCATTCAATTATATTCTTATATTTAGTATTTTTGCTGTTATATCTTATCTGTATATTATATATAAACTATATATCTGTTAACACTTGTTTTGTGTACTTTGCTCTTGCTTTTTGAGGTTAAAGATGCATGATTTTAACAATAGAATATTTCAAATATTGAAATATAATTTCAAAATTATATATTTGATAATAATTATTTATCAATTCTTATAGGTTATTATGAAGCAATGTTTTCAATATATATTATACATATTACTTTTTATTCAATAAATATCCATGAAATAATCTTCTAATTCTTTTTCTGACTTTTATATATTTTTTTTGCAGATCACTGCAAAGCCATGAAGATAAGTTTCTCCTTATCTTCGCTTCAGCCGCTGAACCATGGCTTAGAAAAGCATGGTCAAGCGGGTGTAGTAATAGAAAGGCCATACAACAGTCTCACAAAAAAAAGGTTTGTATAATCTTTTTATAGCAATAAATGTTTCATCTATATTATTAGTAAGTATATCTATTTATATTGTTTATTTATAATTATGTTGTAATTATGTTTGTTGATATTACACAGGAAAGATCCCAAACAGTTTCATAATCAGCGTTTATGGACAAATCGTGAGGATTGTAAAGATGAGTTTTGGGCAGCAATACGATCTAATTATGATTATATTATGGACACTAATTTGATAGATAGTTGTAAAGTACGTACTTGATTTAAATATTTATCAGATAATATATAATATACGATATATATTATATTTGTTTTTAATTTAATATTAATAGGAAGCTAATGGTGAATTAACATGGGATGAGACTGATGTATCTACACAATCATGGAGTTTAAAAGAAGTTAGTAGTCAGTTCTCAGAATTATATTCATGGCTGAGGGTTCTTCAAGAATTGGTTTATTCCAAGGAAGAAAATTTGTTAGATAAAAGTCTGCGTGCGGTACATATTATTTAAATATAGAATATTATATTGAATCTTTTATCCTGTGAAAGATTAAATAACTATTAATTAACATGTATTATTTATAAAATTTAAGGCTCACATGGAGGAGCTGCGACGTAGGGCGTATAGAAGAAAGTTATTTAACGAACAAGCTGCAAAATTAGTGTCACATGCCCCTGCTTTGAAAGATGAAGTGGCGTGGCGTGTTGACCATTTAAATGCAAAATGGGAATTGGTTGAACAAATGATGGCACCTGTTGATCGACTTGTATCCGATCAACAGGATATTTCGGCAGGTAATTCGTTTTTTAGTAAAGATTATAAATAATTCTAAAATTATAATTTCACGAATTCAATATTATTTAATAAAAGATATTATTATACAGATTTTGAACACGAAGTGAAATGTTTGAGAAAATGGCTTCGGGAAATGGAATCACGCCTACAGCCTTTGAGTTTTCACGTAGATTGGACTTTAGCAGAACTCGAGGAAAAAGCAGTGGAACATATGGTGAGTGAATAAAAATAATTTGTTGTAACATATTTTTGATAAATAGTACACACGAGCAAATAGTGCGCGAGCTATGCGTTTAGACATTGCAAGTCATTAACGCGACAAATCAATATTATAAATACGTCGTTTCCGTTTGCAAACCGGATATATGTCTTTATTGTTAACGGAAGCGGTCGACAACGCACACTTAAACAAGCGTACAGGATAAACGTAACTTAGTAATAGTAAATCGAGTGTGTAAATCTGCGAGAAATAATTTAAGAAAGCGATCGAAATCTATTTTTGAGGCAATCAATGTGAATATGAGAATAGTCGATAATTAATACCTGATATTTTCGGTGCAATTTCCTATTATTGCAATTGTGCGATCTTAACCAAGGATAATGGAGCAAGTTTTACTCTTATCTTGACGAGACGACAGCCGACGCACGTTCAGCACGATACTCTGTCGACTCTGTGCTGTATGATCAGGTGGGCGTTAGGAACCCGACTCGTGTTAGTTCCGTATCTTTCTACCGTGTTTTCTATCTTCTTCTTTCGCTCCTTTCCTCCCCCCTTAATTGCATCCCAACACAAAACACTGGATATGTACTGGACCTCGCGAATGTGTGCATAACTATAGCATTGTACAGTGTGAGTGTATATGTTTTCGAATTTTTTACTCGCTGCATATTGTATAGAAAGAGGTTTATTTCATTCTTCTCTCGTTGTATTTTAAAGTAATAACGCCTCGAAGAATATTTATACCTTGTTGTCTATGATTTTTACATTTAATCGTTTATATTTTTCAACAAATCAATTCATGCTAGAAAGGAAGAAAATCGATTCGATCAGATAAGATACAATAAAATATACAAATATTTATTCAACACATATGATAATTCTATTGATGTAACGTAAGACACACATTTAAAATTTTTTGTTATTTAAATTAACATAAATATTTATTAAGAAAAAATTAATATCGTATAGTAGAGGTTTCGGTCGCTTTGTATAGATCCGCAAAAAAGACACGTAACTGAATAACAGAAAAAAGAAAAACTTAATGAACGTAACGTTTATCCTGTTCGCTCGGTAGATTAAACAAGGGTGAAAAGAGGGCAATTTATCTCATTTCCTGATTCAAGAGAAACGTGTAAATAGTTTCTCATGGATCCCACGATGGGTAGCGAATTAAGGATCGATCTTTGATATAACTTGCAAGTGACTTTCGTTCCCGTTCTCATACAGATCTAAGAAAATCTCTATAAGGGGAACAGTGAAAGTTCTTCCTTTTTCCATTGAATTTTTTGTTGACCTATGTAATTGCGTATCCTGATAACTCGTATCACTTCGAACTCGAGAAATTTTAACGTGGCCGCCGATCGATAAAATTGAACGAAAGCATCGGCCGAATAATTTAAATTTAGCTCTTTAAGCTGGCGCGAATAAATTTGTTTATGGCCTGGTTCGTTGCTCCCTGACAACGCCACATGGCAAGCTTAAGCAAATTCCGGGATCTCTTCGTCGTGAAAATTCGTCGTTTCCAATATCGTGTGACTGTACAAACCTGTTCTATAAATTGTTCCCGAGTCGCGTGTAAAAAAATAGTCAAGGTTGAAACGTGCTACCAACTTCGCGATTACGCAACCACTCGTTCTTTGCGTGAAAGCTGTTGTTAACGCGTGCGAAACCAGAGATCTAGATCGATTTTTTTAACTCGAGGAATTTTGATGAGATATAGAAATCATTGCAAATTAATTATTGAAAAAAATATAATCTGAAGGGATATAAATCGAAGATTCGACTCAATTTATAATAAAAACGGAGAGAAAAATTAAGGATACGTTCGTTTCGAATATCAGTCAGCCTCTCTCGAACATTTATCATCGCGAGCTTACTTACATTCACGGTTAATTAATTTCGAGAAACTCATTGTGCGCAGGCATCGGTGAAGGGGCCGATTTTTTTTATACATTATCTCTCAAGTCGGAATCTCTCATACGCGCCATTCATTAAAACGCATCGTTTTACATCCACCAATGGGTGCAATGCGCGTATACCCATTTACGTTGAATCGAAGTCGGGTTCAACCGATTAATCTATCATACGCGAGGTTTTCCAATTCGACGGTGAAAATAAGATGAAAGTCGTTATTAAGGTCGCGAATAGGTACTGTCGAAGGAAAAAGAAAAAGAAAATGCGAAAGAAGCGAGGAACGAAGAAGAAAAAAAAAAGAATAAAGAGAAAGATACACGATAATGATGCGTATGCACGAGCAACGCATAATTTATTTTACGTCTACTATCGTTTATACGTATCGAATTTCAATATATCGATGAAGATTGATGGCGACATTTGTACCATGCGATGGAAATAAAGGATATACGTGTTATCAAACTTTCGTCGATGTTAGTAATTCGTGTAAATAAAAATTGAAAACAATCCGCGTTATTGACATTAGCGATCGAAGAAGAAGCGTAGAAAGTTTAAAAGAAGTATAATAAAAAAAAAAAAAAACAAATGAGAATACAAGGAGAAGTCTGATATTATAATTATTCGATAGGGAGCACGATTTATAAAAATTTAATCGTCTGCTTGTTTTAATTATCAAATCGTTAATCGTGAAAAGTGTGCGATTTACTGGAAATGTTAATTATCATTTGATAATTGTCGAGGCGGAATAATTTTATGCATTAACGAGGCTTCATTTATTGCTTATATCCGTTTGTATAATTATTAATGTTACGCACATTGTTGAATAATATTCGCATAAATTTTCATAAGTATATTTCGATTATTACATCGTTTCAACTTCACTTCCTTCGTAATTAGAATCGAGTAATCAAGCTTTTTACTTCCGTTTCTTCTTACAGTTAATTTTTACAGTTAATTGATCGAATATATTTTCGATCGGAATTTTCTTCCTTTCGATTTATTTTTCAATTTTTCAACTGCGAGAAAAGGGAAAGAAAAGAAAAGATTCTATCCCCGATTCGAAATTATCGTGGTTGGATCATTTATTTTTATATTTTATTTAAATATCAGGGGGAACTCTTGCTTTCTTTCGATTGCTCGCAGAATCGATCGTTGACCTCGAGCAAAATGAAATCTGCCGCGATCTTTTAACCTTTTCGCGCCTGGAATAAATTACAGTGTGTATCGGTCAGAAGAACCAATATTACATTATTATTTACACACGTCGTTGAAAGGTTTATGCAACGCGCGATGGAAATTCTCGTTTTATTTTAACTCGGAATTATACGTTCATTTACGCCTAAAACGACGTGAAAGTGTCGTTGAAATTGCTTATCGTAAATCGTTATTCGGTAAATCAACAAATATGCTTCATTATTTACGCGAAATTAACTTTGTGAAATCTTTCTTGAACTTTGTCGTCAATTCGATTTATCAGGAAATTAATTACCGAGGAAAATAACTTGTGTGCGACAATCTTCTTAGGCATCTACGGGTCTCAGAAAATCTTTTTTCTCTTTTTCTTTCCTTTTCAAAGTAATATTATAGAAAAAAAGGAAAAAAAAAAAAAAAGAAAAAGAAAGAAAAACTCCAGCTTCCATTAGAAATTCCATAAAATCGGATATTCATAGGTGGCGCGTCATAATTTCGCTATGCGCACACGTTTTCCCACGATCTTAGCCACGATGACTTAATTATATTTCATAACGTATATCGATGTCGAGGAACGGCATCAATGGTATCAACGGTAATTGATCCGATTAACCAATCATTTTGCTCGTTTTCGGTTACGGATAATGGAAGAATTCTCGAGGGGAAAAAATGTTTGGGCGCGGTGAAGTTATCGCCGCGTAACGAGTCGATCGGATTATTTACTTCGCTATGCAACTAGAATGCCTGGACAGCATTGATGCTTCGCTGGGCCCGCACTGCAATCCGAAGGATTGAATTTCCCCCCGTGATACTCGTTGCAACGACACACTATCGCGCGATACTCCTCGAGTTATTTGTATTTCCTTGAAATTGATACGAAACTTTGAGTAACAAAAAAAAAAAAAGGAATAGAGAAAGAGAGAGAGGAAAAATAACGAATCGCGACATCGAAACTGCGCTCGTCCTTTTCGTCGTTGAAAAAAAAAACGTTTCCGAACCCAATATTCGCACACAAATTGATTACAACAATTTGCGTTTCTTCGTGTTCAAATTAAATTCGAATCCCTCCACCATCTATTCGTATACGAAATTAACGTCTCACCTATGAGTTGGAATGTAAAATATTGCTGGCTGGTTGATTCGTTCCAAGGTCGATACACGAAAGGGAGCAGGTTTACACGGCGCTTAACGCCCCGGTGTCACTGGCAATTTCTGTTCCACCGTGAAAGATGATCGAGGCGAGCAACGGTAGTTGGCCAAGATGTGGAGCAAGTCGCGTCTAATTGTTTACCGGGAAGCGGCCAAGTGTCCTCAGGGTGGATCGAGGAAGGCATCGAGGACCACGCCGGGTACCGCTATCTTCGGATCAGAATTGTTACGTCGCTTCGAGCCACTGGGTCACTACCACCCAAACGTGCCACGCTCGATATGAACCAGTTTCGACTCGCGTTTAATTAACCCGATCTATCCTTCTTTCTCCATCGTCCCTCCTTCTTCCTCCTTCTCTCTTCGGCTTGTCGAAACCCAAGAAGGAATAATTTTCAGATCAATTTTCCTGCGATTTTATAGTCTGCATCGTCTGCATCGAGGCTCCTTATTCGGGAAATTTTCGATGGATGTTGGAAGAAACGGAGGTGGCGTGAGAGAGATGTTATTCGATGAAAATTTAATAATTTTTCGAGCGAAGGAAAGGTGTCTCGTTAACTCGTCGTAGTCCATTTATTCCAAGATTTGTCTGCTTTCGCTGTTTAAATTTAAAAGAGGCACGCTTTTAAACTCTTAAGATTTTTTTTCCGTCCCCTCGATTTCTCCACGATAGAACGCCAACGCTCGTTCTCTGTTTTTTTATTCGATATTTTATTAAACCGAAAAGTGTAACTGCGTGACGA